CAGATAAAGTGACCTGTGCATTTTGTTAAAACAGAATGAGTAGTTTAATAAATTAGTAAAATGTTTAATAAACAAGAAGTAAAATTGTAACAGTAAACTATTAAATTTCCTATTCACTAATTTATTCTACGTAAGAAATCACAGCTATGGGTCAATAGGAATATGGAAAGGTAACACCTGTCTGATACAGGCAGCCTTCGGAAAGCAAATCAAGCAACTATTTTTATTAGGAGTGCTGCACAGGGAAATGGCTGGGTTGTCAGTTAATAGACCACTTACCTTGAAATTATATTCCCATTTACCTGCTTTCTGATAAGGTAAATAAAAGAGGTAATAAGTAAAGTCTACATATTAGCTGCTGTGGTTTCAGTAAATACCAATCCAACATATTTTACCTACTAAAAATAAATTCCTTGCATTATGACTCTGAAACACTTGCTACAGATGGATATTGAATTCATAACAATATTTTCTCAGTCAACTTGCTCAGTCACAAGAAAAACGAGACTTATTTTTAGCATCATATTTTGCTCCCCTTTTTTATTTTGTTGCATAGTGTTTGTTGAGCAAAAGTGTTCTGTTCCAAAATTAGACTGTCACACTGTATGTAGCTGCCTGGATGCTCAAAAGGAACTGTGATTATGTGCACTTATTGCAGGAAAATGCGAATTTCAAGTAGATTGAAACATGATTGCAATGTTCAAATACAATATAAGGAAACCTGAATTAAATAGAATGGATGAATGACAGACCCTGATGAAAATAATTTTTTAAAGTGGTTCAGTGAGATGAAATGTAGGGTTTCCCCCGCTCCCTTTTTGACTTAACTCTGAGTCAGTGGGTTTTCATGACACCAAAGTGTTTAGTTAATTTATTCAAGTGATTCTAGATCAGGCGAGGACTTTGCAGATTTGCTAATGATGCTCAGTTGCTTCAAAATCAAACATGTTTAGCCAGGAATAGGTGATACTAAGTTAAATTTACGGTTGTGTTGTTTAAGAAATATCTCAATAAGAAAATAGGGCACTATATTTTGAATCAGTTGACCAAAGACATATATTGCTTACCAACATGTACTTTATTTCATTCAAATAAAAGTAGAAGCAATTAGATATGAATTGTATTATGAATATGGACAGATACATTTTAAGCAATTAGACCCCACTGACAAAGTAGTTTTATGACTGCTTGTCTCAATAGACAATGCTTTTTGCAGAACATCTTTCCAGTGATTAAGGAGAAATTCGATGTGAATAAAATTTGGTAGCACAAATAATGGATATAATTTCTTTCTTTCTTTTATAATACTGTACATTTAACTCATCAGATCATAATTATTGAGAGCATCTAATTGTTTCTGTTTTTTTAATGACCTCAAGAAGAACGTGGAAAAATGTGGAAAGAACGCTCAGTTAAGTGCTAGAAACTGGAGCAGGCATTTAAATACTTTAAGCTTATATTTACTTATGTGAAGAATATAAGTAAAATATTATTATCTTATTAGAGGCCCGATGCACAAAATTTGTGCAAGAGTAGGCCTTCCTTCTCCTGGCTGCCATCACTGGCTTCCCTCTGGCACCTGGGACCCGGGCTTCCCTCCTGCCAAGGGCAGCCACCCAGGACATAGGCTTCCCTCCCAGCCCCAGCTTCATCGGGAAGGTCACCCGGAAGGATGTCTGGTCTAATTAGCATATTATGCTTATGTTATTATATTATAAATAGGAATATCATTAGAATTGTATGAGAAAACAGAATATAGAATCTCTGTATACTTTATTCCCTTACACTCCCTTCCAACACGCCCATCTAAAAAAGTAAACAAAGCAGCTAAATAGACTCCATGTTTTGAGGCTTTATGACAGAGTTTCCATTTTTCTCTGGATATTCCCAGAATTCTGTTCCTATTTATGACTTACTTTTTTTAAGGCTGAAAGGATTCCAGGAGATAAGGTGATGGAATGTTTCACCTGTTCACACTGTGAGATTCACAATTGCAGTGATAACTAGCTTTGAATACTTTATTAGGACCTAATTCTGCCTCCGCTGCTAGTGGGGTGATCTTTGTGCTTTAGAGTTCTGCTGATAAAGGCTCAAAGAAGAGAACGTTAGGGGAAGTTTCAGCTCTATCATTCTGTGAACACCACTAAGTTTTATTCTGCTTTGAAACTGTACCACCTCAGAGGTTTCTCAAAAAAGGATAATTTGCCTTTGATAGCAATAGATAAAGAATAAACTAAAGAAGTGGCAAACAGCACTTGTCTACTTTTTACTGGTTGGAATATGAAAAGACTAGCAATACTTGGCAGTTACTTCTCTCTCCTGACTCAGCGCCTCTCACCTTCTGCTCCTGATCCCTCCCCTTTCTCTCCTGGAAGCCTTGTCATTTTCCAAAGTATATCACTTTGCGATATTTTTCAACAGTGTATAAAAAGACTAAGGAAGATTAATCGGTATTCGGCCACTGTGTAAACCTGTCCTGGTCAAACTTTAACATGTATGTGAATGCCTTGGGGATTTTGTTGAAGTACAGACTGATTTAGTACATCCAGGGTGATACCCGAGATTCCTAACTTCTACCCAGTTCCCAGGTGCTGTTACTAGTCCTGGAATCACACATTGGGTAGCAAAAATTGGAACCATTCCATAGACTAAAGTGGCCCTAAATCTAAAATGTAAAATAGATAATCATAAAAAGTAAATATATTCCAATTTTTTTTAAAAAAAGTCATTTCAATTTTTCTTACTTTTCACAAAAAATATGTTTTTTTATTTCAAAACTGAAATGCCCAGAAGGGCAATGCATCATTCCTATAAGTATTCTATTCTCTTGTGACTCCTCTATATTATGATTTATACACTTATAAATTTGGCAAAAAATTTACATTATGATTTTAAAATAATAATTTAGACAAGTTGAATATCACAAGTTAATTTTGAAAACATAAACATGTAAGACAGAAAATTAAATTATTATATAATTATTAAGGTGATTAGATAATTTAAAAATAAACATTTCTCAATACTATTTAAGACATAGTATAAGCTTTATTTGTATATGTTGTAGAAAATTTTGTTCAAAATTTCTATGAAACAAAATAGTACAATAATCTAAAAATGCTACAAGAGATAATACTCATCCAATTAGTAAATTTACAAAAACCATTTCTTTATTTTAGGTGAGGCTACCAATTTTTCCCCCCACTTTTCTTTCAAAATCCCTTAGTATTCAATAATCCTCCTACTGGCTGATAGAAATAGAAATAAAAACATATGCCTAATTAACAACAATAGTTATTTCAGAAATGAAGAAACTTGAGTCATGACTATAAAAGCCATTACCCACTCAAGAATTATAGAAATGTTTAAAGATTGAGTGGTATTCTAAAATTCAACAATACTCCATCTTATAAAAATATGTACATTCTTCCCCCTTTTCTTAAAAGTATATGCTAGATTTCTTTATTTTAGCACACACCCAATACAGTCTTGGATCCGGGTGAAAACTAAAGTGCAACAATAATAACAAAATGTTTTATTTTAAAAAAAATAATTTTTCAAGATTTCTCCTTTTTCTGTACATTTATCTGCACTTCTTCTCATAGACGAGGTAGGGAACTGACTAGAGAAAGGTTCAAATTTACTCACATGTATTATTAGAGGAAATGTCTTCTGCTATCTAAATACAAAGGGTGATGATGACAATAGTTGAAGAGAAAAATAATGGTGGTAAGATAAAAAAGATGAATAAGTATTGAGAGGACCAAAGAGTGTGGATGAAGCACAGGAATGATTCATGGTGTTTGCCTTAATTATGTCCGAGAAACTTGGAAATAATATATAAATCTTAGGGACAAACTTTAACACTATGCAACTAACTTCAAATCATCTAAGAATTCAGTAAGTTTTTCTGATATTACACTTAAGACATTACAACATCATGCAAATTAAAATGACATTCAAAAAGTTTTTTAAAAGACCTTGTTAAAATATCAATAATACCAAAAATCTGCAGATTCGTTTTTAAAATGTTACTCTTGCGGAGTATTTTAAGCTTTCATAGAAGACTTCATTTGTGAAATTCATTCACCTCTATTGTATTATTTATCATGTAAGAATGAGGTTTACTTCTTATTTTAAATAAGTCACCAACCATTTAATAATGTGGAAAATGTAACCCAGACTACAAATTCACTTTGTTAAGCAAAGGGAAATGAAAGAAATGAAGCTATTTCAAGATAGCTTCCTCATGCAGAGAAAAATATTTCTTTTTTATTAGCTCCATCTGATGGCTGGTTTGGTGTTTACACACTACCTGGCTATAAATTCCCAGTAATTTTATTGTTTTTTCCTCCCTCCCTTCTGCTATGTTGAGAAGAGGCTGCTTAACTGATTATGTACCTAATTAGTTTACTGAATTTTGCAAAGTATTTACTACTATAAAGAATGTTCAAGCTAAGCTTGTCAGTTATTTTCTCTTTTCCTTTAAAGTGAGAAGCATAAATATCAAAAATTACAATGGTGTGAAATTAAAAATATGAAACTATTGCTGATACTGTTCATTATGTACATCTGCAAACATAACTCTCAGATAAGCATAGCCTGCCCTTTGCCTAATTTATATTGAGCATGTACGTATGATGAAAATTTTATGAACATAAAAATGACTTTATGTTTCTCATTCAGATTTTATACTTAAAGACTAGTTTGGCAAAAACTATATATTTATATAATATACCATCCTAATATGAGCTTACATGCTTGAAAGTGCAGTTGTTCCAATGCAGAAAAAAATAACTCAGAGTTTAAATATATTTGAAATGCAGGGTGGGGCAAAAGTAGGATTACAGTTGTTGTTATGGAAAAATAATACAATAATTAATCAAAATAATAAAGAATAAACTCTGTCTTACATGTTCATAACTATAAACCTACTTTTGCTCCACCCAGTATTAACTCAGTTGAAAGATTCAAAAATAAGTCAATTAAGGAAAATACTATACCTCAGCATCATATTCCCATAACTGATTTCCTCTCATGTGGTGGCATTTTAACATGATTACAGGTCCATTGAGTCTAGAAACATCCAAGCACAAGTCATCGGTTCGGATTTCCTTGTCAGCAGTATAAGAAAATACCTGAAAATATAAAATTCAGCTAATAAAATAATATCTTAAAAACAAGAAGTCACAGTATAGCAGGTTTGTCTGTGAAAGTTTTCACATCAAATGAACTTTTCATGATCTCTGCTGTGTGATATTGTGAAACTAGTTTATCTCTCCAAGTCCTTTTCCTCAACTGCAAAATAGGGATACTGTCCCTGTTTTATAAGGTTTTGTGAAGTTTCAATTTAACAAACTAAATTATGAAGTGCTTATTATTTGTCGGAACCATCTTTCCTGCAGTATACTTGCCTTATAAAGCACACACAAGTTCAACAAAATAAAGTTTGTAAATTGTGTGGAGCTCAATAAAAGGTAGTTACCGGTAGTCTTGGTTCTCACCTTGTCTCAGAGACAAGAATATTATAAATTTTCATAAAGCACTTTACATCATTCTTTCCATTAACAAAAGTACATCATGTAAATTTTATTAAATATTGTCAGTGAGTCTGTGAAGGTGGTAGAATTACCTTCTCTAGGGAGCTCAATAAAGGTAGGCTCTATGCTCATCTTTCTCATGTGCTTTGGGCTGGGCTTGACTACAATTCTCAAAATATCCAAGAAATGTCAAGGTAGATTGTAGACTCATTGTTAGCTAATTCAAACTGATACTATGTGATCTCTATTGCTTTGTTCCTGGTGTGAAAATTTTATTTATAAACATTGATTATAGAAGTTTTCTGAGAGTTACTAAGTTGTTTTCTTCCATTGGCTCTGATAAGCATGGTTCAGGATTCTGTGGGTATCTATTTTTTCTCTTGCAAAGTCCAGAAGGAGTATATAAGAAAGATGATCTCAGGTCTTTTTGTTTCCCAAACCAAATCTGATAAAATTGCAGGAAGTCAGCTCTACAAATCACTTATAAACTCTGGAGCCCTAGTCTTTAAGCTGAACAAGTTAGTCTGGAAAGGATTGCTGCTACAGTATGCCACTCAGGATTTCTCTGAAAATCGCGTCGGAAGAAGAACATGCAAAGTCAATGACAGAGCCCAAGAAACCTCTTAAGCCAACATCTTTGAAGAAAATCCTTCACAAAGGTTATACATTCTACTCAACAGTATAAAAATGTGGTAACTGAAGTTCCTTTAATAGAACTATATCTTCTTTTGTAATCAAGTTAGTTCTACAAACTAAGATGGCAATTTTTATTCAATTATTTTTTCAGCTCTCATATGAAAAAGTTAATGACTTTTTATCCCACTTTGTGGACCCTCATTATTTTTTCCTAGATTACTCTGATCTCTGTAACAAATCGGGTTTTATTATCTTCCACTGTATTAGTTTGCTAGGGCCACCATAACAAAGTACCACATGCTGGGTGGCTTAAACAATAGAAATTTATTTTCTCAAGAGTACTGGAGGCTGGACATCCAAGATCAAGGTATCATCAGAATTGGCTTCTTCTGTGAACCTCTTTCCTTGGCTTATAGATGGCCATCTTCTCCCTGTATCTTCACATGGTCTTCCCTCTGTGCTTGTGTGTGTCCTATGTCCAAATCTCTTCTTATAAGGACAACAGTCCTATAGATTAAGGCTCACTCTAATGACCTCATTTTACCTTGATTACATTTTTAAAGATCCTAACTCCAAATATAGTCCATGTTGAGGCACTGAAATTACTAATTCCCCAAGGAAATGCCTGTTGGGGGGCAGGGGCACAGCTCAGCCCATAATACCTATCAACACTTTAAAATGTATCAAAAGAGATAATGCACCTTTCCCTACCCCTTGATGAAAACTACTGGGTTTATTATTTTTCTGCTTACTTATCTAGAACCCTTGGGGATTCAATTCAGAAATTAGATTCATCTGTTTAATATTATCCATTGAAACTCTGAATGAAATATAATGGCCGATTGTCTCCCCTTCTCTAACTGGGCTGCTTGGGGTTGGAAGTCTGCAGTGGGATAGGGCAGCCTTGACTTCTCTATTTCACTGTCTTAAGTTTTTGTTTTGATTTCATTCTTTTTTTAAAATATATATTTTATTGATTTTGCACAGAGAGGAAGGGAGAGAGAGTTAGAAACATCGATGAGAGAGAGTCATCGATCAGCTGCCTCTTGCACACCCCCTACTGGGGATATGCCCGCAACCAAGGTACATGCCCTTGACCGGAATTGAACCCGGGACCCTTCAGTCCCCAAGCCGATGTTCTATCCATTGAGCCAAACCGGTCCGGCTTGATTTCATTCTTATCTCCCTTGCCCACCCTCAAATTCCTCCAGGCTTCTAATTAGCTTTTTTATCTTATTTTATTTATTTTATTTTTTATTATTGATTATAGTGTCACATAATTGTCCTCATTCCTTCAATCCCATCCCAAACCCCTCCCTATATATGCCCCCCCACCCCCCTTGTCCATGGCCACTGGCTAGGCACATATGCATGCACACAAGTCCTTTGGTTGATCTCTTCCCCTTTACCACACGCTCCCCTATTTTCTCTCTGAGGTTTGAAAGTCTGTTTGGTGCTTCTCTTTCTCTGAGTCTGTTATTGTTCATCAGTTTATGTTATTCATTATTTCCTCTAGATGTGTGAGATCATGTGATCTAAGAAATACCCTTGTAAGAACCTAAACTGAGACAAGCCATAATGGTTATGCTGAGAGGCAAATGAATCAGTCTGTAGTGAGCTCCTTTCTGGGCCAACAGTTCGAGTCCCAATTTCAATGTCAAATAGTTCCTTATGTGTATATGTCAGCCATGCTATTTCAGATCTGGTTGGTGGACAAGCGGTGGTGATGCAGGTCCGACCGTCTCTGGTTTTGATTCTTCCAGGTTGGTCAAAATCTAGGAGAGGTCTTACCTGAACTGTCTCTTTATATAGCTCCTTCCTATTCTCTGGCCTGGCAGAATTTGATGTTCCCTCTCCTGACTGTGGTTCTTCCTAGATTCCCATCACTAAGTAACTCTCAGTGCAGTGCTAAGAAGAACACTTTTTATTGCTTGACAACTCAGAAAGCCAAGATGACCCAGGCAGGGCAGTCACTGCAATTCCATTTCTCGGCCAGCTTTGTCATGTGTGAGTCAGGTCACAGCATGCCAACCCCACAAGTATAAGAAGCACATAGGAAGCTCTCAGAGTAGGGTTCTATCGATACATAATTTGTAGGGACCAATGCAAAATGAAAATGCAGAACCTATTGTTCAAAATTATTAAGACTTTGAAGATTATAGGGCCCTGGTCAACTGCATGAATTGCACACCCATGAAGCTGCCCTTGCCTTGAGTCCTCCTCTTCATAGCTTTGTCACTGGAAAGTGGCCCCCCAACCCAGAGGAAGGGCAACTACTCCCCTCATAGAATTCCTTACAAAGTTCTCCACCTTTTGAAACCTCCTGTCCTCCTGTTATGTGTTAAACTGTCTCCCTGCAAAAGATATGCTAAAACCCTAAACCCCAATATCTCAGAACGTGAACTTTTTGGAAACAGAGATAATTACTTAAGTTACCAGGAGATCATATTGGAGGAGGGAAGGCCCTTAAACCAAAATGACTGTCGTCCTTATGAGAAGACAGAGACATACAGAGAGAAGACAACAAAGCTGTGAATCGGGAGATGGGAATTGGAGCCATCTGCCTACAAGCCATGGGAACTGCTAACAAATTCCAGAAGCTAGAAGAAGCAAGTTATATTATACAAAGCTTTGGAACAACTATTTTTATAATAATTTTTCTATTTAAATATGCACAGTGATATTTACTGTGACTTGGTGATTTTTCTTCTTTTACCCATTTTCATAGAGCTCAAATTATTTTTGTGTTTCTTAATTGATGTCTTACGTGAGTTTAGCAATAATTTCCAAATTGGAAGGATGGTAGCCAATTCCAACCACCATTCCTTTAAATGTTATTCTGATTATTTTTTTATTGATTAAGGTATTACATATGTGTTTGTATCCCCTATTCTGATTATTTTTAAGTAAAGGTAAGCATTTTCATTATTCTATATATGTATCTGGTTTGTTCTGGATTTTTCATTTCAGTAATGTCCAAAGAAATTTTATAATTCTTCAATATACACAATGAAGATAAATTTTAAGCAATTTCCAAGGACTGCTATGAGAAAGATCTTCTAAAGTAATCTGCATGAAATTGATGCTTTATTTTACACAATGAAAGATTGTGTCTATACATTCTTTTAAAAGTTTCATCTGCTTAAAATGCTAATGCTGTATAGTTACTTCTTTAAAAATACTCCTTTATCTTTACTCCTCTGGAAAAATGGAAGCAAATATTTGCTTAGATTAGTAGCATAAGCATATCTTTCAAGCAGTGCAAGTTTCAAAGCAAATTCACTGTTTCCTTATTTGGACTGGACCAAGGCTCCTTTAGCAAAAGGCTCAGGAACTAAACGCCCTCTGCTGGCTCTGTCTTGCCATAGGCCTTTTCTTTTATCCTTGGATGGAAAAATATTTTGCAATATACACAATTTATTATATATAATCTTTCTTTAAAAGTTTCATACACTTATTATATCCAGCTTTATTATGCAGGTTGGGATTTCCCTAGATTTAATTTTAATTTATAAAATAGTTTTCCTGTTGAATTCCTCAGAACAATATTTTCCATAAAGTTCACTTTTAAGGGACTCAATCACTTTATGCCAACTGCTTCACTACTTAGATGAAGACATCAAAGCCAACAAATTTACTGAATTTACCCAATTTGCCTGAGCTTCTTAGTGATGGAGGTCTCTCTGGATCCCAAGGTCATTGTCACTATTATTGTACTTGACCCTAGGCCCCCTTACACACCCATCACTTAGTCGTTTTGGAGCTTCGGGCCCTCTTGGGGATCACTTTAGGTATCTGAAGTATGATCAATTTGAGAAATTTGTTAACAACCATCCAGAGGGAAAAATTATAAAAAAATAAATACAAGATCCTCCCTCCCCCCAATTCTATAAAAATAGCTCAGGAAATGTTGTATTGAAATAACAAGGAAAAACATTTAGCAACAAAAAGAACTTTAGCAT